TGATCGAAATGCACAGATAGTTATGTGATCAATTTGCCGTTTACCTGTTGCTTGAACCCAGGCACTCACTCGAGACTCGCTTCGACTTGGTTGATCATCTTGTGATAGTTTATCGAGTTCTTTTTGCTGCAAGTTACACAAACATGTTATAATTCAAATAGTATATATATTGCCTATTGAGCAGARGACATGTAGTGCTACTATGCACAAAAATTGAGTATAATATAATAGCAAGCAGGACCTACCGACAATGAACTTTTAAATGCTTTTGCAGCTCTGTTTTTGGCCCTAAGTTTGTGCATAGCCCGACTAGCATTGGTGTTATAGACGGTTGTGACAGTAAATGATTTCTGCCTTATAAAACGAGTCTTTTTCTCTGTAGGCGAGCCATTAACTGGAGAAGAGGGGTACTGGGTCTCGGACGGCGCGCCGGTAGCACGTGTGACGGGCTCATTGAACGTAGCCGGTGGTGCTTCATCTTCTGATGGAAGAATTAGATCTAAATAAACACATGTATCATAGCCTGCTTGAAGCTCTAGGGAATGGGAGGAACTAGAGAGAAAATGCCCTGTRTCATGATATTTGATAAACAATAAACGCGAATTTCTATCTAGAAAAACTATTGTTTCAATACATACGGCTTTTTTCTGCGATCTGATGAGAAACTGTTTCTTCGGTATTCCTATCAAACGCAGCGTTCGAACTTTATATTGGAACACGATTTATTAGTTGAGATACAAAGAGTAAGCAAAGGAGCGGCCGCTCGTCACGTGCAAGATAAAGGCACCAACTAAGTCATTTTCAAAGAAATGGAATTTATTTTCTTCGCATTTTTAACAGTTGTGTACACAATCATGYACAGTTATTGTATTTAAAATAAAACATATACTATATAAAAATATCGATTTTTATTCACTTGAGCGCCATTTCCTGGCTATTATCAGTATCGCAAACCATTAGTTCTCGGGGGAGGGGCGGACACAGCTCGTCTTGGCTGAGGAAACGTCACTTGGAACCATTCCTCGTAATCGTCTTCTGACATCTCAACAACTTTCTCGCG